GCAGTGCCACTGACTTGAAGGTATAAGTTGTCCCCAAATCTGAAGTGGTTGTGGGTGAGGACAAAGTCACAAAGCCATGATCGCCTTCCACAGGGGTGGACAATAACAGGCTGTCACACTCATTGGAGAGCCGCATGAGGTTTGGTTCGGGGTCAGGTTCCTGCATATCCATCAACAGTTGAGTCAAACAGCCCTTGTTGGAACTGTTGCTGATGTAGCGCTTTCTCCACACAAGTCCAAAGGTGCTCAGGTCTAAAACAAAGTCCAAAGTTCTCACGGGGGTGGTGAAGGAGTCCATGTTTCCATGATTTCTAAAACACACATTCTTGGTAAAAGATGGCCTCTTCTGCCCGGCGCTGGGACTTATGGGGTGATGGTGCTGTGCTCTGATTGGCAGAGGGCACTGGGAGGAGTTCTTAGAGGGGTCACATGACCCTCTTCTGGGCAATTCACATCGTTCCAGAACCTGCCCTATTTTGGTCAATCTCCTCTAGGTGTGGCCTCCAGTGACTTAAACCCCTCCTAATTGGTAGAGGGAGGTGGGAGGAGTTGTTAGAGGGGTCACATGACCCATTTCTGGACAGGTCACCCCACCCCAGAACTCCCTTTGCTTGGTCAAATCTCCTCTTGGGGCAGTCCTATGGGGGCGAAACCCATCCTGATTGGTAGAGGGCAGTGGGAGGAGTTCTTAGAGGGGTCACATGACACACCTTGCTCCTGGTCATGTGTCTACTTTGACCCCGGAAGTAATACCCCCATCGGGCAGGATTTCTGGTGACAGGTGGGCAGGATTTAAAGAGTCAAGGGGCGGGGTTAGGGTTTGATTGATGGTAGGGCCCTTATACTACTACCACACAATATCTGTCTCCCACATAGTACCTTGGTAGGCTTCAAAGTAATTCAGGTTCTCTCGCAGGACCTGGTTCTGTTTGGGTCACAATCTCATGTCAGTTTTTGGATGAGGTCAGAGCAACCCCTCCCCCCTCCTCAGTCAGTGGGTCATTAGATCATTTTCAGTTCTTTATTTGCCAGTCTCTTGAACCAGGGTTTTCACATATAGGTCACCAGTCTCAATCCAGCCCAACTCAGAGACTTTAAGGCCAGATTGGACCAGCCTGATCTAGAGTCCTGCGTTGACAGAGCTAGCCTGTCCTGCTGAGACCTCACTGCTGTTGTCACTTGTGTTAGCTTTGATATAACTAGCTCAAAATGAGCTGAGGTCTGTCTACACATACTGCAATCACAGCTCGCAATAGAAGTGTAGACATACCACTGGAGAGAGCTGTTTCGGTGGAGTGGAGAGGGTGGAAGCCAGGCTGGAAGGGATGCTGGATGAGAAGAACACAAGAGAACAGTTGTAAATGGCTCATTTGGGTCCAGGGAAGGTGGGTGGTGGGTGGTAGTGGAGAGGCAGGAGTGGTCCAGGGTTGCTGTTGGGAAGATACAGGAGACCTGAGCATTCTCCTGAGGTGAAGGAGCTATAAGAGGGAGAGGGTAAGAATATCAGAGTAGGGGAAGGGAGGTTAGTAGCTGGGAAAGGATCGGGGGTGGGGGGAGGTGGCGTGTTGCAGGTAGAGAGTCAGCAAGAGTTGTTGGAGACAGCTGGACAGAACAAAGGCCCTGTTATCCCCGCTGGGTAAACACCTGAGGAAGGAGCGTGCATCAGTTTGTTCAACTGCTCGTGTATTTACCTGTTGTTTCAAATGATGCTAATTTCCTCATTTTCCTCACAGTACAGCGAGTCTCCACTGAGCAGGGGCTGCTTCCCAAACCGTGACTCTCTTTCTCTCTCAGCAGTGGGTCAGTCGCTTGTCGCTCCAAGATCCAACCGCAGGGATTCCACAACACCCACCAGAATTAATAAGTTTATCATTTATGAACTTGCAAACTTCAACGGTTACTCCAAAGAACTGACCTCTGACATCTCCCACCTGGGGTCTGTAGACGGACATGACTGCATCTCCTCACTGAAGGTCATTGACCAGCCCTGGGTGGCCTACCAGCATCATCATTATTCAGGTAAGATCAGGGTGTTTGGGGAAAGTGAATACATCTTTGTTGGTCACAATATGAATGATGAGATCACCTCTCTCCAGCTGATTACTGAAAACCTGCACAATCCCCAGATTACCCTGTATGAACACACACTATTGAGAGCAGGGCAAGGTGGTAAGGGAAGCAACCAACTTGGCCAGGGGACTTTCCAATAACAGAGCATCTTCTCAGAGGGTTCAGAGTGGCGCCTGGCTGTTGTGTGAGCACAGCGATGGAAGCAGCTGGTATTATGTAGCCCGGGAAGATGACTGGCTTCCAAACTATGGTTCCATCTATCTCAATAACAAGCTTTCATTTCTGCAGCCCCCATGACCTGGCCACAGCTAGAACTGACAAACTGCAGAGTTTGCCATCCTGAGGTTCCAAGTGTTAGGGGGACCCCCACAGAGTGGTGGAGAGGTATTGCTCTGCCCATGCTTGCACTTCATTCCTCCACAAACCATGGAATGAGTGAATTTGGGAAAGTGCAGCTCATCCTATGCTGGGCCCCTACCATTGTGTCCTGCTGTTTGTCCCCTAAGGCTGTGCCAGAACTTCCTCCAGCACCTCACTCTGCCAGTCTCCTTCATGCTTCCTCTGGGGCATTCCCTGCCTCCTACACCATTCGTGCAGCTCAAACTGGGAGGCCTGTTTAGGGATCTGCTTACCTTTGCCTGCTGTCTTTTTCCCCTTCAGCCCCTTTTCTCTCACATCATCTCCTCCTGTCCTCCCTTACCCCAGCCAGCTTGTTCTGCATCCCATCTTCCCTGCCTGAACTCCTACAGGTTGTAGGTATCTTTATAAAATAACTGAACACTGTGGTAGGAAGAGAGCCTGAGATATAAGTCCTTGTATTAGAGGCCTGGTATAATGCCTTAGCTAAAGTAGTGGGCAATCTTTGCTGATATAAAGCAACGTTAGCAAAAGTCAGGCTGTGAGCAAACATTGGGCTCTGCCTGCTTGCAAATTCACAGAATGTGGCAAGAAACAGGGCTGATATTGCATAAACACACATTTCTAAGAAGTTCTAGGCATAGAGTACTTACGCAAACACATTTCAGAAGAGTAGTGTTGAAACAGATCTTTAACGGCCCACAGCTGGGCAGATAATTACCGATAGCAGTGAAAATTCGGGTACAATATGCTTAATGCACAGTAATTTATCTGAGAAAGAATCACAAAAGCAGTAAAAGTTACATAATACACATCTCCCTAATAAGCCTCAATTCCCCAAGCATAAACCCTCAGTAACTATGGTGGCCTTACACAGTATCCTGATTAGCAAACAAAGCAAATATAGCTACCAGTTCTAGACACAGACTTCTTTTCTTCTCTTCTTTCCCCTCTGAGGTACTTGGTCTGTCAAATGTCCCCTGAAGCAGGGTCCTGGTTACCCCGAGGCCTTCTGTTTCACAGTGTCACAGACTTCTTTAGATGTTAATTGGGGAACTAACTAACTAATTTACTCTGCTTAGCATTTATACCTTTTGTTCTCAAAGGAGTCACATGTTCCAAAAATATACTCTGTGGGCGTTTCATTACTCGTCTTCTCTAATTAATATATATCAGAACAGAAACAGACCAAAGCTCAATCAATGTTTACCCTCTCATCAATCATTCACATGAGCTCTTAGTGCAGTGTCCTCCAAAAGGGGTTATTTCGACCCGGGTCAACCTGTACCAAGCTCACTCATGGCATGTTTTTACGTATTCTTTACTTTGTGAGCTGGTCATCGGCTGACATGTTTCAAGTTTCATGTTGAAACACATGCACAAATGGAGCCATTTCAGCACTTCCAATTATTTGCACACCATCGATTTAATGCTAAGAGAATCCTGTTCCCAGAATCCTCTAGCAAATTCAGACGTACCAAGCAATACCAAACTCACGTTCACCACATTCATTCAGATCAAGCACAGTAATTCATCATAATTCAGCTCCATCCCAACTAGTTGTACCAGAACATTCTGATATCAAGGATGGTACAAAAACATTTCCCAAGAATAACAGGAACACACTGACCCCTCCCAAAAGATAAGGTCAGGTTGACAGTGTAATGAATAAAGATGTTTTGATCGAACCAACATGTACAAGGAGATGGGTAATAACTAGCCACATCTGGGGGCCATAACTAACTAAGCCAGAGGGGCAGTACGTAACTTGTTTGTATCAGGGTATAAATAGGTATTTCTGAGAGAGTGTTTTGGTTCAGGCAAGGGGGGAATGGAAATTATCACCATTCACTGAGCTGCATCCATTTTCACAGGCATACATGTTTTAGTATCCTGGTAGAGTCTGCCAGATGCTATTACCGTGCTTTGTCGACAATAAACCTAGCCTGGTGCCTTCGTACCTTAACAGATCTTGTGGTCATTGGGCAGTTCGCTCAAGGTCTGCTTGCCGGCTGTCTGCCCAGAGCTGGGGCAGCACACAGAGAGAACACACACATACAGCCAAACATCTAACCACAAACACAGCCATACCATTTCAGTTAGACATGGAGGAGAGGGGAAATGAATGAATCTATGCTTAACCCTGCGTCAGTGAGGGGGTAGGGACTAAATGACCTCTTGAGCTTCCTTCCATCCTGACAGTTCTATGATTCTACGAACGGTCATCCAGGGGTCCCCACAAGTGCTTGATCTGACCTTGGAGACAGCTGCCCCATTATCACTGCCAAGACACTATGCACCAAATGACAGACTGAAAAGAATGTCCTCATAGATGAAACAGAAGGAGTAACCAAAGAGATCGTTAGCAAATCTTATCATCACAATCTAAAGACAGCAGAGAGTTCTAGCTTCTACAGCTCAAGAGGGTGGGAAAGGTGATGGGGACGGGTTCAGTTTCTTTGTGGAGATAGGAACCTCTACCCCTTCCCAGGGGATAAATGAGCCACTCACTAACAAAGAAACTGTCAAGGTGTCTTTACTGGGTGTCATAACTATAAAGGGAAGGGTAACAGCTGTCCTGTGTACAGTACTATAAAATCCCTCCTGGCCAGAGACTCC